TCAGAGGATTAGAGTCGAGTTGGAGGTTAGGAGCTTGACATCAGTGTGATCAAGTAAGTCTAAGGCATAAAGCAATACATATGTGGTTTTTGAAAACTTTGTGTGGTAATTTGGGGACGTTTGAGACTTATACCTATTATTCACTTTGTTGGACTTATAATGTTGGATTTTGGTTTGTAATAAGTGGGTTTATGTTTTGGATTTGATGTTGGTTTGATTCGTTGACTTTGGATTTATAAGTATGAACTTGTTGCTTGAAGAATGAGATTACTCAAATATTGTTTTAGACCCTAAAGAAGTGTTTGAAGTGTTTAATTAAGTGTAACTTGATAAACTAAATGTGTTAAACTCTTAGGTTGCATGAAACAACCTTAAATGCCAAAAATTAGTATGTGACTTGTGCTTGAAATGAACTTTTATGCAATTGTTGACTTTGGGTGCCAAATCCTTGATTAGTGTGTTGACTTGTATTATAAAGCATGATATACCTTTGTTTTGACATGTATGAAGTGGTTGAATAGTGTCCAAGCATGATCCTAGTCCATGATTACTTTTATGTGGGTGATTAGTTGACCAGATATACATGTTCTTGATAAATCTACAGTTTTTTTTCAGAAAAATAATCGATCCCAAAGTTTTTGTTTTGCAAAGGATCGATCCATTTTCAAAAAAAATAGATCCCCCGTGAAAAAGGATTGATCATTTTCAAGAAAGGATCGATCTCGTCGTTGTTTTGCTCAACAAAAAAAGTGAAATTGAATTCGTTAAAGGTCTAAAATGTTCTTAAATTCTAATTTGACCCCGAATGATTGTGTGAGTTCAATTTAACCCAGAAATTGATTTGTTTAATTACTTAAATTCTTAATTTTGAAATTTGATGAGATTTGAGTGATCACTTCTTAAACACACTTAATTACATAATAGAACTCTCAATTGTATGTTATTGTTTGGTGCATAAGTTTTGTATAGTTACGTTTAGGTCTCTAATCTTGTATGATCGATTGAGTGAACGTCTTATGTTCGATTGGTATGAAATTTTGTGTGATGCTTCCTTATGAAAATGTTTAACATGTGGTAACCTTAATTGGGTGATTTGACTTTTTGATTTATTATATGATATGAAATGACCAAAATACCCCTAAACATTTAAATGTAATGTTTACATGTTAAATTGAGATTCAATTGAATGTTAGTTACATTGAACGTTGTGTGTGATGAATATTAAGAGATTTTAATTTGTTTGCTTCCGTGAAATGTGTGTAATGTGGATCTTGATCCGTCCAACACGATTGGAACCTAATGTATGCTCAGGTATCCGGCTCGGACTCCTAGACCGGGTATGGGGCATTACAAGATGACAACGTTAACAAAAAGGTCAATATTCCATTTTACCTCTAAATTACTGCTAAAATATCAAATATGTCCTTGAACAATGATTGTATATCTAATTTACCTCAACAAGTTTTCTAATTTTCATTTTTTTTCCAAACGCTCCATCACCTTCACTATGTTTGAACCACATTTCTTACAAAACAAAAAGCACACTTAAACAATTAGGAGCACTTTCTTTAGAATTTATTTCAACAACACTTAAATAAAACCTAAAAGTCTAAAACTATCTTCAACTGCAATACCAATTTTCGAAACTCAGTGTTTTTGTTCCTATCTTGCAGTATTGCATCGGAGTAAAATACTTATTGGTGTTCTCTATTCTCTCTTTAGCATTTGATTTTTGGTTCATGAGTTACTAGTTGTCTAAACTATATAATGAAACAAAAAAAAAACGGTTCACTCTTTTTTTGGCAACAAAAGAGAAGGTAACTTATTGTCTAAATATAGATGTTTTTTTAAGTGTGGTTGAAACAAATACCAAGGAAACTGTTTATAATTGTTTAAGTGTGTTTTTCTGTTTTTTAAGGAATGTGATTCGAATATAATGGAGGTGGTGGGGTGTTGGAAAAAAATGAAAAATTAGAAAGCTTTGGGGGTAAATTAGATATAAATTCATTATTTAAGGATCTATTTGATATTTTAACAGTAGTTTAGGGGTAAAATAAAATATTAACCTTTTTGTTAACATTGTCACATCATCAATTTAACAGGGATGATGGTAAATTGATCATTTTGTTACAAACCAATAACGTTAGTGACAATTTTGTTATAAATCGATAATATTATTGATAAGTTTGTTACTTTTGAAACTTTAGTGAAAAAAATGAAAACTTATTCAAATATTGGTGGCATTGGTGTAGTTTACCCTTAAATATATAAAATGGGATATTGGGGCAATCTATCTCTTAAAAATTTCAATTTTTTATTATTATTCCTTGAAGACCAGATTCGAACACCATATATGTTAGGAGTGTGATCGTTTAATGTCGAAAAGTTAAGAATTATCATTGATGAGATATTGCCTTATATATATCTCAAATTTAATCATATATATATATATATATATATATATATATATTGACAATTTAAACTTTTGAAATATCTTTTCTTTTTAAAGGTTTATATCTCAAACATAAAATCACACACATATATATATATATATATATGTACATATGCACATAATTAGGAAATATTTAGTAAGTTTTTTCCCCTTTTTTTTTTTAAGTATGGAGTCATTATAAGGTAATATTGTTCAAGATTTCTTTTGAACATTAATAATTCACACACTCTATAATCGTAGTTGCTTGAACCTTAAATTTTAAGAAATAACTATATTGAATTAATTATTATAATAAAAGGTTTAATTTAAGTAATTTTACATTCCCAAGGTAGTATAATATTCGAGAACAATATTTTCATATAGATTTGATGTAAGATAATCTTGTAAACGTGTAATTTGCTTGTGAATAAGTGTTGGTATAAATGGTTGTGATTTAAGAATATAAGTTTGTAGGGTCAAATTTGAATCTTGCCACCGTTACTATTGGTAGAAAATCTGTAAATTTCTATATAAATCCTCATTAGGTCTTAGGTATGCTCTGGCCTTGGACTGGGAATCACCCCTAATCTAAACTTTTATGTACAAAAATAAGTGTAACTTACTTAAATTTACCCTTTAATTTACTTTAATTTTTCCCCATTAATTTATGGTGTTTACAAGTGATAATATTCGTTTTAAAGACTTTCAATCATTTAAAAATAAACACTTATGTATCTTGTAATCTATTATACTTGAACTTAAGACCTTTAAGAATAATAATCGTTCGTTTAATTTAAGATAATCTTATAAATAAATAACTAATTATGTATTAATAATGTATAAAGTCATGTGATGGATGACATGGTGAGAGGAGTAGTCGAGAAAACTAATGGTAAAAGCGTGTGTTTTAGGGTGGGTGGTGTGTGACCCACATTGATGATGATTTGTTGAAAGGGAAACAACACTCGGAGAGAACATGGTAATCCAGTGGGCCCAACTTTGATGATTGGGCGGAGAGCAAGGTGTGGGCTCCATTTGTCTTCTGGTAATCTTGTTCGACACTTATTCGTCCCCATAACACAGTCCCATGTTTAGGCCGAATATTAAATCGAATCGAGTTAAGTCGAAAAGCTTTAAGTTGATGAATTATTTTTTATAATTTAAATTAATTTTTTAAAAAATTAGACGAGTTTAGCATAAGAAATTTGAGTCGAGTTATTCAAGTTTATATACTAATTTTATTATTATTATTATTATTATTTATAGTTTATGATAAGGATTAGTGTCAATTTTTTGGATTTATCAGACCATGTAAGATATATATATATATATATATATATATCATATTATTTTCACATTATAATTTACTTAATATATCAAATACAATCTAAAATTATAAAATATATTTATAATATTATAATTTTAAGAGAGTATTTTAGAGTAAAATATTGATGAGAGTATAAAGGAGGCAAAAAATTGTTGAGAATAAAGAATTTGCAAACAATTACAGTAAAAAAACCAAGTTGAATAAAATGCAAATTTAAGGGACTAAATCAAAAAGAGAATATGTTTTTAGTATATATATATAATTGAAGTTACATGGGTATTTTATAGTGGTATATGAGCAATTGATTCGAATTTGATAAAAACAAACTTAAAATAAAGGATGGACTGAAAAAAATAAAGAAATTATGAAAATTTATGGGGCTAAATTGAAAAATAAAAAACTTATTATCAAACAGAGAAATTGAAAGTACATATGAATTTTACTATGGCTTAGGAGCATGTGATTCAATTTGGTAAAATGTATGCTTAAAATAAAGGATGAATTGAAGGAATAATAAAATCAAAGCCTAAATTATAAAACTATCAAAATCAGGAACTAAATTGATAATTCGAGTTAACACGAATAACTCAAATTTAAAAAAAAAAGAAGATAATGTATTGGTAAAGATAATGGTTGGCAGGTGTTTTTTAGAAAGTATGGTTGATTAAATGTATTTTTATTTTACGTAAAATATTTTTATTATAAATTTATAAATTTAAATTTGAAAAAAAAAATCTTCGAAGTTCAACAAATTTTACTTAAAAAGGAGATTGTTTAGTTAACATGTTGTCAGGGATGGAGTCAGGACTAAATATTGGGAGGAACAAAATATTTAATTTTAAAATATAATAAGGACTTATTATGTATTTAATCTAAAATGTTTTGGAAGAACAAAAGTCCAATTTTATTTAAATTTAAACTGATAAAGACCTAAAATGCTATTAAACCAAAAATTGTGACAAGGCACGAGAGCCCCTCCTATTAATTATATAGCTCCGTCCTTGCATGTTGCTAATATTGAAGTTCAACTTTCATGTTCATTAGATTACTCTTTTGATAGGATGATTCAACTCCATTACTAACAACCGATCAAACATCGATTGCGACTCCTCGTCCAAACAAACATCGATTACGACTCCTCGTCCAAAACAGAAGAGGTGAATAATCTTTATTCAAACAACGAGCTACATTAGTAAGATAACCAAAGAACTGATAGTACCTCCGAAGGCAGACCACATGAATCTATGTCGAACACAAATGAATTACTGCCCTTCATTGTGTGCCTGAAAAAGAGAGGATAGTGAAATCCCTTTGTGAAGTGTAGGGATCGGCCTGTCTTCTTCGCTATGACGCCTTCAGGTTCCGCTTCCTCCAGTGGTGCTCCGCTTGATTCCGAGTCTTTGGTGGTTTCACAGAAGATCTTCACCAATAAACGGATCAACGTGGTGTTAAATGATCAGAATTTTTTATCATGAAAACAACAGGTGTTACTTGTCGACCGGAGTCATTATCTCGAGAAATTTCTCTTTGGTTTGCTCACTCCGCCGCACTCTTGACGAAGGGATGGTAGCTGAGAATGAAACGTATGAACAGTTTGTCGCTCAAGACGATTGTGATTTGCGAAATGTCTAGAAAGGAGAAAACGCAGGACCATCACATATGTTTCGCACAAACATGTTATTACAATGAAACAACAACCTAAGCTTCATAAAAAGTTCTAAACTGCCATGTCCATTTACACAGAGAGAGAGGGGAGCAAAGATGGATTCGATCTTACAAGCAAGAAACACGGCATGGCGTTCACCGTATTGTTGATTTACGTTTAACGGCTTTGCTATTGTAGCTTAGGTAAGGCCCGAAGGTCTTCATAACTTCTTCATACGTCGGCCTCTTATAGTCCACAGCCTGCAGCCAATTTATTGAGACAAGGATATTCATAATAGGCAACTTAAAATGCATCTACAGTTCTAATGTATCAAACATAATGCAGCAACAGAATACGAGCATAATACCTGCTCAACGACCTCTTCAGGGGTTGTCCACTTCCACTCTGTGAATTCCGGGTCGGCCTCGCCCGTTGCTAAGTTGATCTTACTCTCATCTTTTGTTAATCTCATAAGAAACCTGTCGAGTGCCCCAATCTTTTGTAAGCTATATGAAAACAACTCTCTGGTTTCTTCCTATGCTTTCATCGCTTAATTTAACAAAAGAAGTATGAGCTACTACTTGCACAGGGAAAGGGAGACAGAAAAGGACAGATATTCGAGACAGGACAGTACTCGAAACTCACTTTCATATTGCTAAAGAAAGCATATCAGCTCGAGAAACACTCAAACATAAAAGATATCATGCAAGTGTCCACAAGATTCAGTTTTTCCTCCTTACACAGCATAATAAAAAGGGTACATGAATTCACAGAAAACATAACGAGGAACATGCCGTGATCAGCATGTTAGAGGTGGCGACTGCAGCGAGCAAGAATTCGGAAGCCAATAGCTAAAACAATAAAATTACATTAAAGACTAAACTAAGCCAATTCAAAACCAGCATGACATTCTTCTGGTAGATAAAAGGAATGGAAGGAATGAGGAACAAACCATTTCTGTGCCTGGTCATGCCATTCGCCTCCCCAGAGTCGATTCACTTTCGCCTTCACGGCCGGAGGAAAATCATATGTTAACCAATTAGGAATCTGCCAAACCACAATGCTAATTAGATATGCGTGTAGGCATACAATGAAGAAAAATTGCAGATTTTCTTTAGCAAAACCTCGGCAATGATTTCGGCAGATACGACACCGGTTTCTTCTCGCAATTCCCTGGTAGCTGCAGATCTCGGCTCCTCGCCATCTTCAATGCCCCCCTAAGTAAAATCCCAGAATTATTTGAATTCTCATCAAGCAATGAGGATTGAGGACTGCAACAAATGGAGATTAACAGTGAATTACCTGAGGCATCTGCCAGGCTCCTGGAACATTCAGTCTGGAAGCTACAAAAACCTGCACCCATAAACATAAAACAACAACAACAAATCAGCTTTTTTCAATCCATATATTCCTCACGAACTAACCTAAAAACCCCATCAAAAATACAATTTTTCACACACAAAAAATGGAAATTTAAATCATAGGTACCCCCAAGAACTTCTCTTTTCTCCATAAACAGTGAATAAAAAAGTTTATGAATTCTTTCAAGAAAGAACAGAAAATCCAAATTTGACTTAATTTAATTTGATTTCAAAATCTAAGATGGAAAAAGAAAAGAAAAGAAAGGGTACCTGATTATCAGAGTTGACTAGACAAACACCAACGTTGGGGCGATAACCAGTGGGTATTCCCTCCATTCTTAAATACACACAGCTTCTATTAAAGTTTTTATTTTTATTTTTACCCTTTTCAGCGAAATAAAATAGGGAGTGAATGTTCTGCTCAAGTTTAGGGATCGGAAGAGGGTTCAAAAGAAGGAGATGGTGAAAATGAAGAAGAACTGGGTTTTGTTTTTCAAGAAAAGAAATGATTTTTATGAAATATTTGGGGAGGTGTTCATGGGGATGAGTGACGCTGACCTTTGAGCAAATATGATGAAAACGGGGCGACTGTTTTATATTGCTGACTTATCCTACGCCCCCGCACTGTTTTAAGTAGGATACATATTAAATCGAGTGTAGCCAAAAAAAAAATTTAAGTTATTCGATTTAAAGAATTTTATCTAACGACTCGAAGTTGACATAAATTTTTTTTCGAGTTGAGTTGCGTTTATAAAATTAAAATCGAGTCAAACATACTCAAATTTTTTAGCTTTTATTTAAATTTAATTTTAAATATTTATAATATTATGATATTATTTGATTTTAATTTAAATAGGGTTTTTAATAATCATATGCAACATATATGTAGTTCTTTAATTATTAAAAAAAATTGAGTTATTTGAGTTATACTTTGCAACTCGATTTGAACTTAAAATTTTTCGAGCCAAATTAAATTTTTTTAATAAAAATTAATTTTTTAAATTGATTCGAGTGATGATCCCTAGTATCAAAGTTTCTTTTTTCCCCTTTTATCAATTCTAGGGGTGTTCAAACGATTAATTCGACCACCAACCAAACCAAATTTTCATTAATCGAATTAACCGAACTTTTTTTTGAAAATATTAACTGAACAGAACAAAGTTCGGTTATTTCGGCCGGTTAACCAAATTAACCGATTTTTTTTTATAATTTATTTAATTACATTAATTTGAATATACTTACAATATTTTTTATTTGGGTTAAAATTTTAATTAGGTATTGATAATTTAATGAGTTTAGTGTGATTAAAAAATAATTGAGCTTTAATTTTTAATGAGTTTAAACTTAAAATATGTATTTAATATATATAATATATTTCATATTTAATAATTTCAGTTAATTTGATTCATTCGTTTAATTAACCGATTTCGAACCGAATTAATCGTTAACCGAAAATTAAAAAAAATATTAACCTTTCCTCGATGTCGGTTAATTCAATTAAAATCGAAAAATGAATTCCCTTAATCAGTTCCTTTTTAGATTCTCCCAGCCCTTTTATTCTGCCCACTCTTCGTTTTCGCTCATCGTCCACTAATAGTGTTTCGCCACATGTACCCTAATAAAATAGGCTAAACCATACCGATGATCATTGAACTTTTAGTGTGCTTTCATTTTAGTCATCTAACTTTTAAAAACAATATTACAGCCACTAAACTTTTAATTTAGTTTCATTACATTAAATGCCCTCAATTGTTAATAAAAATTGATGCGACACATTAGAGTTTCTTCCTTAAATATCTAAAGATTTCAAATCGATAGTCACCTCAGAGGCGATTCCGATAAACCAGATAAACGTAGGTTAATTTCAACGATGGGAATGCTCCATCTGACCAAAAGATTGAGATAGTTTAGTTTCGGTATAATATTAAAACAATACCTTAACACTTGATTATATGCATTAATGTCATAGTGACTTGCATTAAACAACATTAATTGGTGTCATAAAGTTACTTGTAAGAAGAAAAAAAATCAATAAATTATTAACCATACATATCCTTAAAGGGCCAAGTTGTGCAAAAATAACAAAGTACGACTAAAGAAGTCATTTCATCATTGTTAGCTGTTAATGATCTCAAGAGATTGAATTTAATTTATAATCAAAGTAAGGTAAATAAATATTAATTAAAAAATCTATGGCTGCAAATTCATAAAACCTTAGTCAACTACAAGTGGATATAATGATATAAAATGTCAAATCATTTAGTAAGGTCTAGAGTTTTAAAGGATTATTATGGGAGAGTACAAGAAAATTACTGAAAAAAGACATGATCGAAAATATTATAAAAATCATAATATTTTCAGTTGGATACAACTTAAATTAAAAACATTCTTTATAACATTTTGGGTTGACAACCGAAAATATTACATTCTATATAATATTTTCGGTTCAATCAAAATTAGACTGTCGTAGGGTAAAACTATTTGGTTTATTATATAAAAAGGTTTTGCAATATTCAAATTAATTTTACTTAGGAATCTATATTATATATGGAATATATATTTGATTTAATTATTTATTTATTTGATTGATTACGTTTATATTGAGATTTTATCGTTCTTATTCATATATAAATTTTTTGTATTTTAATATATATATATATATATATATATATTAAAAAAATTCTGAATCTGTTACGTTTATAAAAAATTCTTATTCATTTATAAATTTTTATCTTTAAACTATTTTAGATTTACAAAAAAAATTCTATAATTAAAATTTTATATGAAGTTCAGGGGTTAAAATAAAATTTTACCCTTTCATTAAACCTTTTTATATTTTTAATTTTGTAAGAAAATTATATAAATTTTATGAATTTAATTTTTTTAAAGAAAATATATAAATATTTTCTAACTTGTTAAAAAAACAAATATATAATAAGGACAATTTAGTCAAATATACATTCCAATAATCTTTTATTTATTTAACCAAACACGGTAATCTTACATTCTTGCTAAATCAACCAAACACAAAATATAACATTTCCAGTAATCATATTCTCTGGTAATCTTTTATTCCTAATAGTAATTTTACATTCCGTGAACCAAACGCAACCTAAGAAAAACAATCATTCTTTTGATTAACGAGATGGTTGGGATTAGCACGTGTGAATGTCAAATCAAAACAATGATTTTGGGATTTTAATTTCATGCGGTTTTTATGTCATAATCTATGTTAAGTCAGCCGCATGAGGTCTCAAAACTTTGGAACAACACCAAAGACTGCAATTTTAGCAGGCCTTATGATTCCCAAAGTCTAAAATATAGAAGTATAAACTTCGTATTTAGTACATAAATTATTAATTTTAATATATTTTAATACATAATTTTTTATTTTTTTTAAACTGTACCTAACGTTTAATTTTTATTTTATTTTAGTACCATGTCATTAAAAGCTTAATGCGTTTAGTATCTAAACTATCAATTTTGATCATTTTTAGTACCTAAACTTTTAATCTTTTCAAAACTTAGCGTTAAATTCTGAATAGGATACTAAAATGAAACAAAACTAAATTTTTTAAGAATGGGTACTAAAATGAAACAAAAACTAAACTTTAGGTATGATTTTAAAAAAATTAAAAGTTTAAGTACTATAACAGATTAATAATTTAGGTATTAAACGCGTAGTTTACCGGAATTACAAATTCAAAACAGATAGGCTGCTCCGTTTACCCACCATGGATGCATTAGGTTTAGCCTCAAGCATCCACGGAGATGCTTGAAACCCAAGCATCGCAAGAACAGACACAACTGCTAACCTCTGTACCAAATGCTTTGGTTGATGGGTTAGGACATTCCCCTAGGCAACAGTTAAGTCTTTACCTTCTTGATCATGTCAAAACTTTAATTAATATTTCATTCTATTCATATGAACTGTGATGGGCCTCAACTGATGTCTGAAACTGGGAGATTAACGAGCATAAGGTTTTATGATTGTCACATGTGATGCAGGGGATCCGAGACAGATGATGCTGAGCTGTCAGATTGCACCTTGATGGCGCTGAGATACCATGAGTTGGTAGATCAGCGCAAAGGCGGGAATTGATTGTGATATGTTCTTCATTGGGGTCGTTTTGAGTGTGCTTCATTCTTTTGGCCATAACTTTGGCTACGGGTGTCAGAATCGCGCATAAAACCTCAAATTATGCCGTTTTTCCTTCCAAAACACTAGATTTAGATATATTTTTTTACTATTTATGGTAATATTTCGATTGTTAATTAGGAAGTCATTTTAAATCCGATTTCGGCCCGATTTTTTACAGATTGCTTATTTTATTTTGAGTTTTAATTTGGAGTGATTTTCAGGATTTTTCTATTTTTGGTAAAATTTCGATAAACAAGATTTTTGGCTATAACAATCCGGCTTGTGGACTAATTTTGGGGAGTTTTGATTTTTTTAATATTTTATTAAACCCTAGAGACTTTTTTCTCTGATTTTTGGGCGAATTTTCTCTTGTGAATCATCTGTTGGAACTAGCCTACAGAATAATCGTTATTCTGTCTGGCGTCAACATGTCCTTTCGAGTTAACAATCATCAAACTAGAATTTGAATGCTCATATGATCTGTATTTGGGAAAAGATAAGTTCCCAAAGGGAAAATAAGCTTTTTGCCAGTGTTGGCACGAGGCTGCAGTTGAGGCGGTCATTTTCAATACAGGAAAGCGCATATGCATCGTCAACAAAACCAAGAACTACGGGTGTCAGAATCGCGCATAAAACCTCAAATTATGCCGTTTTTCCTTCCAAAACACTAGATTTAGATATATTTTTTTACTATTTATGGTAATATTTCGATTGTTAATTAGGAAGTCATTTTAAATCCGATTTCGGCCCGATTTTTTACAGATTGCTTATTTTATTTTGAGTTTTAATTTGGAGTGATTTTCAGGATTTTTCTATTTTTGGTAAAATTTCGATAAACAAGATTTTTGGCTATAACAATCCGGCTTGTGGACTAATTTTGGGGAGTTTTGATTTTTTTAATATTTTATTAAACCCTAGAGACTTTTTTCTCTGATTTTGGGCGAATTTTCTCTTGTGAATCATCTGTTGGAACTAGCCTACAGAATAATCGTTATTCTGTCTGGCGTCAACATGTCCTTTCGAGTTAACAATCATCAAACTAGAATTTGAATGCTCATATGATCTGTATTTGGGAAAAGATAAGTTCCCAAAGGGAAAATAAGCTTTTTGCCAGTGTTGGCACGAGGCTGCAGTTGAGGCGGTCATTTTCAATCCAGGAAAGCGCATATGCATCGTCAACAAAACCAAGAACTACGGGTGTCAGAATCGCGCATAAAACCTCAAATTATGCCGTTTTTCCTTCCAAAACACTAGATTTAGATATATTTTTTTACTATTTATGGTAATATTTCGATTGTTAATTAGGAAGTCATTTTAAATCCGATTTCGGCCCGATTTTTACAGATTGCTTATTTTATTTTGAGTTTTAATTTGGAGTGATTTTCAGGATTTTTCTATTTTTGGTAAAATTTCGATAAACAAGATTTTTGGCTATAACAATCCGGCTTGTGGACTAATTTTGGGGAGTTTTGATTTTTTTAATATTTTATTAAACCCTAGAGACTTTTTTCTCTGATTTTTGGGCGAATTTTCTCTTGTGAATCATCTGTTGGAACTAGCCTACAGAATAATCGTTATTCTGTCTGGCGTCAACATGTCCTTTCGAGTTAACAATCATCAAACTAGAATTTGAATGCTCATATGATCTGTATTTGGGAAAAGATAAGTTCCCAAAGGGAAAATAAGCTTTTTGCCAGTGTTGGCACGAGGCTGCAGTTGAGGCGGTCATTTTCAATCCAGGAAAGCGCATATGCATCGTCAACAAAACCAAGAACTACGGGTGTCAGAATCGCGCATAAAACCTCAAATTATGCCGTTTTTCCTTCCAAAACACTAGATTTAGATATATTTTTTTACTATTATGGTAATATTTCGATTGTTAATTAGGAAGTCATTTTAAATCCGATTTCGGCCCGATTTTTTACAGATTGCTTATTTTATTTTGAGTTTTAATTTGGAGTGATTTCAGGATTTTTCTATTTTTGGTAAAATTTCGATAAACAAGATTTTTGGCTATAACAATCCGGCTTGTGGACTAATTTTGGGGAGTTTTGATTTTTTTAATATTTTATTAAACCCTAGAGACTTTTTTCTCTGATTTTGGGCGAATTTTCTCTTGTGAATCATCTGTTGGAACTAGCCTACAGAATAATCGTTATTCTGTCTGGCGTCAACATGTCCTTTCGAGTTAACAATCATCAAACTAGAATTTGAATGCTCATATGATCTGTATTTGGGAAAAGATAAGTTCCCAAAGGGAAAATAAGCTTTTTGCCAGTGTTGGCACGAGGCTGCAGTTGAGGCGGTCATTTTCAATCCAGGAAAGCGCATATGCATCGTCAACAAAACCAAGAACTACGGGTGTCAGAATCGCGCATAAAACCTCAAATTATGCCGTTTTTCCTTCCAAAACACTAGATTTAGATATATTTTTTTACTATTTATGGTAATATTTCGATTGTTAATTAGGAAGTCATTTTAAATCCGATTTCGGCCCGATTTTTTACAGATTGCTTATTTTATTTTGAGTTTTAATTTGGAGTGATTTTCAGGATTTTTCTATTTTTGGTAAAATTTCGATAAACAAGATTTTGGCTATAACAATCCGGCTTGTGGACTAATTTTGGGGAGTTTTGATTTTTTTAATATTTTATTAAACCCTAGAGACTTTTTTCTCTGATTTTTGGGCGAATTTTCTCTTGTGAATCATCTGTTGGAACTAGCCTACAGAATAATCGTTATTCTGTCTGGCGTCAACATGTCCTTTCGAGTTAACAATCATCAAACTAGAATTTGAATGCTCATATGATCTGTATTTGGGAAAAGATAAGTTCCCAAAGGGAAAATAAGCTTTTTGCCAGTGTTGGCACGAGGCTGCAGTTGAGGCGGTCATTTTCAATCCAGGAAAGCGCATATGCATCGTCAACAAAACCAAGAACTACGGGTGTCAGAATCGCGCATAAAACCTCAAATTATGCCGTTTTTCCTTCCAAACACTAGATTTAGATATATTTTTTTACTATTTATGGTAATATTTCGATTGTTAATTAGGAAGTCATTTTAAATCCGATTTCGGCCCGATTTTTTACAGATTGCTTATTTTATTTTGAGTTTTAATTTGGAGTGATTTTCAGGATTTTTCTATTTTTGGTAAAATTTCGATAAACAAGATTTTTGGCTATAACAATCCGGCTTGTGGACTAATTTTGGGGAGTTTTGATTTTTTTAATATTTTATTAAACCCTAGAGACTTTTTTCTCTGATTTTTGGGCGAATTTTCTCTTGTGAATCATCTGTTGGAACTAGCCTACAGAATAATCGTTATTCTGTCTGGCGTCAACATGTCCTTTCGAGTTAACAATCATCAAACTAGAATTTGAATGCTCATATGATCTGTATTTGGGAAAAGATAAGTTCCCAAAGGGAAAATAAGCTTTTTGCCAGTGTTGGCACGAGGCTGCAGTTGAGGCGGTCATTTTCAATCCAGGAAAGCGCATATGCATCGTCAACAAAACCAAGAACACCAGGAGAAGGCACCTACCACTTTTTGTTTCGTCTTTGATTGGTGTCACCCTAGCACTAGAATCCAGTGATGCAGAAACCAAAGCCCTGTATTCAAATTGCATCCCTCAGTATCGTACTTATAAGGGATGCTGCAGAGAATGATATATAAAACGCATATATTTGTTACTATGGCTGTCACAGACCTAAAATCCAAGTTCTTAACAGATGAATGAGCTTGGGCTTCATTGAGAGTTTTCTCCATGCTAGGCCATTTGAAAATCCTTAACTGCCATCCTGTGTTGCACCAAAATATGTTTTTACTCGATCGTTTCTCGCCTTTTCAGGATCCGAAGAAAAGTCGAGCCGGAGCCCCTTTACGCTTCTTGATCAGCCTCAGCTTGACAGGATGTGAATGAAGGTTGAGGAAGCAGGGAAGAAGAGGCATGGTGCTTTCATATACCTATGAAGAAAAATATTTTCTCTCGTTGCAATACGTACATTATAGGATAGGAAAAACTATGCATTTAGTACCTAAACCATCAATTTTGATCTGATTTAGTACCTAAACTTTTAATTTTTCAAAACCATACCTAACATTTAGTTTTCATTTCATTAATTTAGTATACCGCCGTTAAAACCTTAACACTTTTAGTACCTAAACCTTTAATTTTTTCGAAACTTAACATTAACTTTTGAATGGGTACTAAAATAAAACCAAAACTAAATTCATTTAAAGTTTAGATATTAAAACGGACTAAAACTATAGTTTAGATACTAAACGCATAATTTATCCTATAGGATAATGCTTACTGTGTTATGTTTACTTGGACACTTTTGCATGGATCCGACATGGATGTGTTCATTTCTTTCATTTTTTTTAGGATCTTTGAAAGACATTGAACAATTACAATTTTGATACCTAAAAGGTTATGGTCCAATGCATATTCGAGTATATTCAAGTTTATCGATGATTTGAATTCAAACCCTTATTTAAGTGACATCGAGCTTATGTATTTTCATAGTCTTTGGTATACCAATAACTGCATAGAGTTAGGGGTGTAAATAAATCGAGCTTTAACAAATAAAGTTGTGGTTGTGATTGTTTGTTTAATTTTGAAAGTATTTGTATTCGGTTTGTATTTGTTTAAATCTTTAGTATAGTGTTTGATTTTATTTATTTATTTTTAAAAATATTTATATTCGTTCATTTAACACTCGTGATGTTCAGTAACCAACATTCTCTTTTTACCTTTCTATTTAAGCTAAAGAAAAATGATGAAATTATGTCACTGGTCCTTAAGTTCTTTAGGTTTCATAGTTTGAAGTCTAAAGTCCACCTTATATTCAATTTAGTCTTTATCTTCAAACCAATATTTAAAATGTAAAAAAATTAAAAAAAAAATAAAAACCAAGTAAATAAGCTTATAAACGAGTTGACACATGATTTATTTGTCATCATAAATTAACCGAACAACCTGTCTGTTTATTTATTAAACAAACATAAAAAATTTGTTCACATTCATCGAACGATTTTGTTCATTTACACGCCTTACAGACAAAGTATAGACTTGAAAGAAAAAAGAAAAGGTCAATGGATTCGGATCTGAGCTTTCTTCTTTATTGAAAAATGGGTCTACAAGTACCACTACCAGTCTACCTCTGCAAACAGATTTTGAAGGAACCCACAACCATCATCCCCAACTGTTCCTCTCAGCTCAATTTTCCTCCCCCCCCCCCCCCCCCCGAGATTGTGCTTGTCCTGGTTGACTGGAACAAAAAAGAAACACAAGGACAACCCCCTTATCGTCCCCATTTTTGGCCATTTCCAATTAGTGCTGGCTCAAACTAGACCTTCATTGGATTTTCTCGGCAATACGCGCTTTCTTTCTCGGTTTCTTTGCTTTTTGGTCTGCTTGTTTCATTCATATCCCTGCAGACATTCAGCTGCACAAGTTTCAGTGACAACTTTCAAATGGCATCTTTCTTTTATCTATTATCATGTTCTAAGTTAAAGCTTATTTTGTTGGGGATTGAATGAACATGTCTGGGTATTTCAAGGGATGAAAGGACAAAACTTGTAGCAGGTGTGTCATCAGCCTTCAGTTTTTTCACCTTTCACCGGTAAAGAACAGTAATCACCAAATTTTACAGGTCAGATATATACATAATGCAAGAAATATAAGACCAATGTATTTGTTTAGTCCGGTGGAGCTGGATCAAGATCTAACTTTTTAGTACTTGACCGAACAATGTGTACCATTTAAGTCCCCTAGGAATATATGGGAACTGAACATACATGAGAAGAACAAAAATTATTACTGGCATAAACCTGAAAACCCCACCAGATATATGTTGTTCAAGTTTTAGGTCTTATTTCCATCAACTCTTTTCAGATCGTTCTCCTGTTCTATCTTTCTTTCATTCTTGTGATTGTTCAGTGAGTTTCTTGTGTATGAAAAAATGGACAACACTGTTAACAAAGAAGAAACCCAACATGGTCCAATATGCGTTTTTAAAGCAAAAAAACCCAAAAATTAACTACAAGTCCTTGTCTTCACAGTTGCACCATGCGTGACAGACACAGAATGGAACAGTCTCTCCCTAGTTTGTCATACAAAAAAAAAAACTAACAACAGGCTTAACTGTTTAAGTTTTAACCATAAACTCAACTGGAAAAAACTAGTATATTTAATTTCTGCAATCTGTTGCCCACTTGCTAAAGCTTAGCTAATAGCTGTTACTACCCAGTACCCACCCCGTGTTCTTGTTCAGTTCTTCAGAGGAAGAAACTCGAAATACTGTGTTGTGGTTGTTGTAGTTACAGCTGTGATGGGTACTTCTTTGTTGCCGATATTAATGGCGGTTCCAAGGGGAAGCAGCTCGAGGGTCTGCTCTTTTCTGTTTTATTCTTCGAGAGTGGTAATATTTTCTTGGTGGGGTTTGGGTGGACATAAATATCCGGTGTCCGATGAAGCTGTTGCCGAACAAGACAGCTCCAAGCGTAGTTCCTTGTCGTGAATTTGCATCCACTCGTTTCCTCCACTTTTTGCACTTCCATGCATTGATATGAAACCCTAAAAGAATGGCCAACGAGATGATGAAATTAAAGTGGAATTGCATAAAGTGGAGGATTGAGTGAATGCAAATTCATAAAACAACAGCAAAGTAAAAGAATGCATATTTTAGACCTCTTCAGCATGAAACAAAGACAAGAAATTTATAGACACAAACCTCTGAAAGTTTACGTATGTTTGAAGGAGAAGCTTTGTTGTTTGTCGCTTCAATTACTGTGGGGGGGGGGGAAACACACTAGAAATTTCGTTACTTTGTCTTTGAAAACATATATGTTTAAATTCTATGTATAACCTGCTGATTCCTTTTTCTCCAAGCTATAGGTATCACATTGTTGCAGTTCATTGGGAGTCTTACTGATCAGTTGACGGTGGCGTTTTTTACGTTCTCTTGCTTTATGGTTTTGGAACCAGTAGAAATTCTTCCCTTCGATCTTCCCGAACCGCTGAAGCCGCGCCTCGATTTGTTGGATTTCCGCCGCCGACGGCGTCCGTGTCCCTCGTTGATAGAGCTCCTCGAGCGTCAGTAGCTGCTCCGGCGTTGGATTCCAACGTGAACTCCCTGATGGCTGTTGACCTCCCTCATTTGCAGTACTTGCTAAATACCAATAACAACAAATCATACATATACATATATCAGAGTTAAGCTGCAAGATCATATATATCAGTTTTTTAGAAAAGAAAGAGTGGGGTTTACCGAAATCACCATGATTGAAAGCTAAAAGCTTAGTGGGGTTTGCAATCAAAGGTGAAGGCTTTGCATTGTTGAATGAAAGAGATAAGCTGAGGTCTGTGATATGGTGGTATCCCATTCTTGAAGAAGCAACCCACCACAGACAAATATCTATCAAAGATGATGAGATTGCATTATATATATATATATATATCGCTTTGTCTCTCCCCAGAGCACGTACCCGCATCGGAGAAGATTGTGGAAAAAGAAGGAACAAATGGAAAATCAAACATGCTTTCTACTTTTGGAAAGTACACATTGTATTCCAATTATTTTAATCAGGTTAGCTCAAGCTTTCTGTAATATATATAAATTATGAGTTCAGTTTATATATTTTAATTCGAGTTTACATAATCATTGTATGATGACAGAATTTGGAACACATTTTATTGATGGTCGGAATATGAAAGTGGTGATTTAGATGGTTTATTTTCTTTAAATTGGGTGAAGGGTCACAGTAAGACGATAAATAATCGGTACGAGTTAAAATTCTTTTCTTCAGCCTTATTTGTTTGTGCCAGTATGTATATCTTTGACATCAGACAATAGAGTGATCGATATCGGTCCTAGGTTAAAATTATTGATGGATTGGTAGGTAAATAGATTCGACTGTCGTGTAGTAAACTGTTGAATTAAATCTCCACCTTATTTTAAGCTCGAGCTCAACCATGCAGCAGTTCATACCGATGAATATGATCCAATGAAAAACAAAGAGATTTTGTTCTCAGTTCTCAGGATAAATGAATACCAAGGAATTAATCATATATATTTATATATATATATATACTATTCAAGAAGTTTGTTGCAGGTGCCGACGCCGACAGCCGCCGCAAGATGCCAAGCAGCATGAATAAAAGGAGTCCTGTGGAACACATCATCTGCAATGAAAAGAACACCTCCCAACAAGGATGACATCTTATGAACATTGTGAGCCATCCTTAATTCTGGGTCTTCCAATGCTCTTTTTGCAAATGCTACCTGAAATTGCATCAAATTTTAAGTTTTAATGGAGAATATAATATAATGTTCCAAGGAAATAAACCAACTTGTTAGTTACCTCCATCATTCCGGTGTGAACAGCCGAAACCATCAGAGGCTGCACAGGTAGAAGTAAAGCCGATGCCGCCATTAGTAACTTTGGGTTCTCGTTCCTGAGAGCTCTTGATAGACACTGCAAAAAAGAGGGGGGAGGGTTTCGAATTTAGAATCGAAACCGAGCGTGCGACTTAGAGAAAGATATGAATCGGTTCGAACTTACCACGGTTGCAGTGGCGATCATCGTGTAGTCGGCCCACCTTAAATACTTCCTGAGCTTTCCTCTGGAAGAATGATACAAAGAAGAGGCAACTCCAACTCCAATTAGTGAATTAGCATACAGCCTAGTGTTAAAATTTTTCCTGTGTTCATGTAAACAAATTATATCAGCAACATGATATGGATGCCTTGTTGATGAAGCAAGTGAAAGAGAAAATAACCTTGGGGCTTGGATTCCAAGAGCTATGAAAGGAAGTGAGGTTAACACATTAGCCACCGTCTCTTGAAGATTCCGGTCCCCTGACGAAAGATTTCGAATATAAGCATAGGGAAATAATCATATACGATAGAATGCTGGAGCCGATATACACGAAAAACACACACAAACGGGACCAATACCTCGCATACAACAATATCTTACAGGCTTTAAACAAGATGGCCTCTGCTGCCATACTCTGAAAAACATATAAAAGCGGATACATTATGGCGAGTGACGGACTATATAACACCGTATTCATTCAACCATCTACGTAACATATAGGATGCATAAGTTTTGCTTTAACTTACTGCATCAATAGGGGTTGATTTGCTGTAATAAATGATCTATCATGAGTTGATTGGAACTCCCCATGTTGGTTGATCTCCACAGATGCAAATGGTGAATGAGGAGATACTTGAACCCCATGTACACCCTTCAAGGCTTTACTAGGCCTCGACGCCACCCGGGGACACATAATTATCGAACGATCGAACGTGCAAAATGCTTTACCGGAATCTCTGTACAACCAACACGGGCAGGAGCACATGTTCAAATCACACATCCAACAAATTAAAGCATGGATGAGGCTTTCTACAAAAACACTAACTTGAACATTTGTTCAAGTTAAACAATTTCACTTGAAACAGAATAAGGTTAAGCTCATATCATGATTATCATCATCATTCATTAATCCAACAAATGTACCAAATTTAGACTAATTCGAGACCAAAGTTTAAACCTTGAAGCTCTTTTCATATAAATCAAAATGGGAGCTTTGAAATCAAGCCATGGGATTGGTAATCTCCTAATACATTCAACATTAACAGTCCCATGAAAGCAGGGACCCTAAAACCAAAACACAAGCACAAAAACAGGAAGACTTGTCCTTAATTTCACAGGTAACCCCAACACAAAAAATGGGTTCTGAAAACACAATCAAAAGAGGCAAACTTTAACTTAAAAAATTGGGAATTGAGTCAGGATTGTGGAGAACAAAACAGTGAAGCGTTGTTTAAGGAAGAGAGAGATACCTGTCAAGATTTGAGGTAGGTAATATAGTTTGGTTTTGGGGTTATGGGCGTATAAAATAAAGAGTGTGGGGACTTGTTTTTAAATGTAGAAGGAAAGGCAGGAAGAGAGAGGATCGTGTAGAAGGAGATGCGCAGGAACCTCGAATCTTCGCCATGAAACTGTTCGCATATTCGCTTCTACTTGAGTTTGCCTAACTTTGAACCCAAAAGGTTTGCCCAATTATAATTCGCCACCTGTATTTGTCTCTCGTGCTATCGCAATACAATTTAGTCACGTATTTTAAAATACGGTAAAAATATATAAATGATCCGGAGTCTCTTAATTATTATTATTTTATTAGACTTTTGACTATTAAAAGTTATAAAATAGTCTTTTAATTATAGGAAGTTATTTTATTGAGTCATTCGATAATTAAAAGTTACAAAATGATCAAATTATTATTCATTATGTTCCAAATTCATCATTTTTTAGTATGCTAACCTACTAGCTGATATATGATAAAATCTGATCTCATATTCTTAAATGACTATCATATCTCAGTCAACATGTTAACGTTCAGCTCATGCGATCGTTAATTTTTAAGGAAGAAGATGAGTTTAAAACATAATGAATAGTCGAGTGACCATTTTGTAACTTTTAATAGTTGAGAGACTCGACAAAATAACTTCCTATAAATAGAGGATCATTTTATAACCTTTAATAGTTAAAAGACTCAATAAAATAATATCTTATAGTCGGATAATATTTGCATACTATATCCTTTAAAATATTATACTTATGGTCGGCTATTTGATCCAAATTTTAAGGATTTCAATTAAATTCAACTTTTATAATATTAAATTTTTTATAAATAGAAATTGAATATAATAAAGGTTAGATTTAAAATTAGGTTGAAAATTACTCGACTCAAAAAATATAATATTTTTTATTAATCTAAGGTAAGTATAAGGCAATATCTGTTCAAAGATAACTCTCAATCATTTGATATTGAACGCTCACACCTCTGACATTTCTGGTGCTCGAATTTGAGACCTCAAGCAATAAAAATAATTTATTTACTAATGAGGTCGTTTTATTAAATCTATATTTTATCTAATATATGCCTATGCATCCATTCATGCATGTGTGTGCATCGCATGTTCATTTTTATTTTAAAACTCGAGTTAGGAAATAACATTTATTTATTTATTTTAATTCTTAGATTTACTTGGAATAGTGGAAATAAAATGAAAAGATGAGAAAGTTGAAGGACTAAAGAGGTAGAAAGACATAAAATATATTTCATTAATTTAAATGCTCGAGACTCATACCCCATATTTCTGATTTGTTCAATTAGATCCATAATCTTTTTCTTCAATAACCCAATGAATGAATTGAAAAAAAATAGAGTATCAAATTGAATGGTTTGAAAGATGGGAAACCTTTGCATGATAATTACACATTAAACGCAATTTTAATGGAATTAGTTGTATATAAGATAATTAGGTCATAAAATGCTGATGATTAGATTTTGATATTCACATGTTGAAACAAAAAAAAAGGTTTGTTTAAACCTTCAATTTGATTATAATCTACATTATAATCCTTAAGTTTGATATTTGTTGTAATTCAGTCCCTCAATCAAGTTAGATCTTGATATATTTATATGAATACATGTAGCATCAATCTTTGAATATATTCCCCCCTGACTACGGCGATCAATACTGGACAGTCTCACAACACCCTCGGGTCTCTCCCAACATTAAGTTTAAAAATTAAGGGTAAATTGTGCGTTTAGTTCTTAAACTATTAGCTTTTATCCATTTTAGTACCTAGATTTTTAATTTTTTAAAAACATACCTAACATTTAATTTTTGTTTCATTTGAGTATCCGTCGTTAAGAAGGTTCCATGATTCAAAGGTCCCAAAACATCATGTCAAAACTCCTACTTCAAAACCTTTCTTTCCGTTTCCTCCCTAGATTTTCTCAAATTCCCAGTTTCTATCTGGTTCGATAGCTCCAAAACCAGTAGTAATGAGGGTTTTAGAGGGTTTCTATCTGCAGTTTTCTTCTTGTGGATTATCATAACTTTTTCTCAGTTAGGTTTACATTTTGCTGTTCATGAAGAAACAAGTAGTACCCGTCGGTCTTTCGGGCCACCCACAAGGAAATCCCGGTTTAATTTCGACAACACTGGTGCATTCCATGCGTCGCCATCAAGCTCATATCAGTTTTCTGGAATTGAAGATGATAAGAGGATAGTTCATACTGGTCCAAACCCTCTTCACAACAAGTGAACACTGTAAGCTAGCATGTTTTAGATGTTCATCAATGGTGGAATTCAAGCAACAAAAAAGAGTCTGTAAGAATCTTTCTTCTTCTTCTTCTTCTTGGACCAGCTTTTTTGTTGCGGATAGAATAGCTGTATAGATGAAGGAGAGAGCATTGATTTTGCGTTAGGCGATGAACTTTCAACTTTTAAAATTTTAAGGACAAACTTAAACTTATAAAAATTAAGAGACGAACGCATAATTTTAATAAAAAATATATATTATTTTTTAAAAATATATATAATAACTTTAAATTTTTAGAGGACGATTATCCATCTGCCCATCGATCCATCCTATTTATATGGCAGTTGAGTGTGTAGGCCTAGAAAAGGGAAGACAATGAGAAAGGCTAGTGTAAATGCTTTTGCTTCTCTTTTGTTGTGCTGTTTAATTTTCTTCTTCTTCTTCTTCTGTTGTACTGCTGCTGTGTACCATTCAATTGTATTAACTTTGAATTGTAATAGTCAATCATCTACTTTTGCTTTCTTCTGCAACTCTTGTGTCTGCCCACAACTTTCTGTCAAAAATATTTTAGACATTAAATGCATATAAATTTAAAATGAATTTATTTTCATGATAAACATGTTCTTATGTCAAATTTTATTATTAATTTTCATATTTTAATTTTGTTATTATATTGTTAATTATTTGAATTCCGTTTGATTTCTTGACGCTAGAGCATCTTCTTCCAAATTCTAACGGTGGAGAGATAACGGAAGCGGTAAATAATATATTTTGATTTCACAGTGATCGAACGATGATGATTATAGATTAGAAGTCATCTTTCTATACATTTTAAGTTAAAGTTTTGCGAGTTTTAAATATATTTTAAGAAAATCCAAAATGCACTACAGCAAAACTGATATGTAGCGGCGTTTTTAGCGGCGTTTGGAGAAGAAACGCCACAAAAGTTAAACATATAACAGCGTTTACAATTGTAGCGCCACAAATTGATAATTTAGCGGCGTTTGTAGTAAAAACGCTGCAATAGAGTTGATATATAACAAAAAACGCCGCAATAGAGTGGTAAATTAGCGACGTTAATACCACAAACGCCGCAATAGAGTATAAATTTTGCGGCGATTGAGCCAAAACGCCGCAATAGAGTGGTAAATTAGCGGCGTTTATACCATAAACGCCGCAATATATTACACATATAGTGTCGTTTATTCCTCAAACGCCACAATAGTGATAATCAATAGTGGCGTTTTTAGACAAACGCCGCAATAGTATTAATCAATAATGGCGTTTTTAGAAAAAACGCCGCAAAAGTGTTAATCAATAGTGGCGTTTTTAGACAAACGCCGCAATAGTGTTAATCAATAGTGGCATTTTTTTTGTATAAACGCCGTAAAATGTTAAATATATAGTCCTCCTTTTCTCCTACCTGAACCCTAAAATCATTTAAACTCTTCTTCCCTCAAAGATTCTTCTCTGGTACAACAACATCTCTCAAACGATTCCAAGCGTCGTCGTCGTTTGTATGTCCCGGCGACCAAATTGGGCCTCTCACCGATGAACTATAACACAATTGCACGGTTTGATCCATATAGAGTTTACAAGGACGAAAAACTTAACGATGCGTCGTCAAACAAGGAAAACAACTTTCCTACATCCTTTCCTCACAAATGACCAAAACTAAATTCTACTGAACAATATGGCGAAGACTGTTTATGCATAGCTTTAATGTTTCTAAATTGTAATGTATTATGTTGTTAAGCATTTTTATGCATACCTTATGTCTTTATTCAAATGTATGGTTGTTGTTACTTATATAAAACTACATATATCAGTGAATTTAGTAGATGTAGAGCAGAAATGATTAGTTGTAAAATGAACTAATATTATGTAAATTAAATGTTATTAGCGGCGTTTTGTATAGATTTACTTTTGCGGCGTTTGTATCCAAAAACGCCGGTAAAGAATAATATTTTAGTGGCGTTTTTTAGAAAAACGTCGTAAAATACTCTTAATTTTGTGGCGTTTGGTAAAAACCACCACTAAAAAGTTATACTTTAGTGGCGTTTTTTGATACAAACGCCGCAATAGAGTTGTTATTAGGTGGCGTTTTTTAATAAACGCCGCAATAGAATAGTTCCTTAGTGGCATTTTCGTAAAAAACGCAGCAATAGAGTAGTTCCTTTGCGGCGT